TTACAAGGCACTCAGTATAAAGGTCATCCGTGAGCGGGTCATGTGTGAAGCACCCATGGACGTCATGTCTCGTGTGGCAAAGCTTAGCCGTGACACCTACTAAGCCCACAAGCTCCTGCATATATCTCTCCATCCTTCCATATGCTTGCTTCACCAACAAGTGAGTGTTCAGCTCTCAAGCCAATATTGGGATCAGGGGGATTATTGGGATCTGGAGGATCAGGGTGGCACATTCCACGTGACTGTCCCTTTTTAGTCTCTTTGATCTCTTGTCCAGCAGTGCTGTGACACAAATTTGAGACATTGCGGGATGATGGGAATACATTCCTGCGGGGGTGCCAGCTGGGATGCACCAGATGGTCCATAAGGTAGCCATCGGCCATCCACTCCAGCGGTCCAAGCCAGTCCATCGAGTGATACCCAGAACTTTGCAGTGTCTCCACCAGATGGAGTGCTGTCAGCAAAGCTGTGCAATGGCTGAGACATGCTTATTTTGATGAGAGTTTCGCAGAATGGTTGAGAAGAATGTTGAAGATCAGAACAAAGATGCTTTGCTACGAAGGCATGACTCGGAGAAAAAACAGCAAGTGCAGCCTAGATGGCAATGCGACATGCATGCTGGTAAGATCTCAATCTCCAGTTCGAGCGGAGTTGAATTTAGAATTTAAATCTGGCTTTTTTATACTCTGGAAGGGGTCGGACCCCCCTTCCAAATGTGTGATCTAGAGAAGGGGGGTGTTGACCCGAAACAATGGAACAGAGGTCAAGCCGACATGCCGGCATGATCTGTGGCTCAGATTTATCCAACAAATGTTTAGAACACATTCTAAACACCTGCGAAAAGGCATTCATTATGCGTACATTTTACTTCCCTACTGAAGTCATTCTAACCAAGATTACTAGAATGAAAGTCATTCACCGTAATTACACCTTCATCTGCTACTGGATATTTTATACATGTCATAGTTTGAAATTCAAAAATGTATGATTACATTCAACAGCACTCAAATTCTAAATGTATTTGGTGAGTTTGAAAATGGTGTCATTTCGTAAAATATATGATTTTTAATTTCTGCTTCCAACATATTATACGCAAATACTTAATACAGAATGTGGGAAGGAACCATAGCAAATTGAGATCACAAAGGCAAAAAACCTGTCGACATTTGCTAAGCATTTGTCACATGCGCAAATCGCTTCATGTCTGCGGTGTCATAAAGTCATTGCATAATCTCGTGCTTAGTATTGTAAGCGCGCAGGACGATGCAGGTAGTCAGGAAGGTACTACTCATAGTTCCGACAATTTCTTACAACGCGGCATGGGATGCCGACGAATCAACCTGCGATCCGGCGATCCGTTATATTTACCCTCTGGGCCCGCGAGAAGTCGCGCTAGGGCACCGCGCTGGCTGTCAATCATTGTCTAAGCACATTTTCCGAGAAGTCAGGTGCCATGTTCGACCATAGCAACAAGCCGAGGCGCAGCACACTATGTTCACCTCTTATGAAGAAACACAGGAGACCTTCCTTTTCTTCAAGCCGTAGTGACCGCTACATAGCACAGGTTGCATTGCATGGACCAAACGTCCGTCATCGCCCATGCATGCGAGATCTTTGCGCGGTTGATTCCGCCATAATCTGAGGGCAGTGCATTCTGGGATGCTCCGACAGCCGCTTTTGGAAACTCCTCTTCTGATGCGAACAATCGTCCAGGAACGCGTTCCCGCAATTTTGCCTTTCAATCACATCAAGCATCAGGCGGATCTCAGACCAGCTTGGCAAGAGCCATCTCCCACGAGTGTGCCCTGCTACGTTGCTGTGTGCAAGGATATCGGTGAGTGCACACAACTTTCGCTCGCTTCATGAAGTTTATGGTAATTTTCACCCTGCTTCTGCTACTGAACGACCGATACCTCGTGGAAAATGAATGATCGGATTCGTGGCGGCATCTGGCGATCCTCTTGGCGAACCAATTCCGACGGGTCTCTCCTTATCAACCATGTAATTGTCAGCGTATCGAGGGCATGGAGCATTGCGGCTCGGGGCCAGGTCGATTTGACTCAGCCATCGCGTTCTGCCAGTGTGTGAGTAGTCTTGCTACATAAAGGGGACCCAGTGTTCCAGGTTCATGTAAGATGCAACACCATCTCGTAATTGACGCGCCTGTAGTGTAGCATTCGATCTTCTGCTTGACTACCCACCCAAGCCTGGAGTTCCCACAAGCGCCCGCAGCCGGACCATGGGATCTCATGGGATGTTGACCATTCCTCTAAAGGCAAGGTCCAGCCTTTGCCGTCCGCTTCTGATAAACCCGCCTTCGTCGTTTTTTTGGCGTGTTCATCGGCTCAAATCCTTCCCACTGCCGCTATGTCCTCGGATCCAAGTACCTCTCAGCAATTAATTATTGGTCTTCGGACGATGTGAGGTTTCATGCTGAGATCTGCTACCCCTGCTCACGCGTTCTGATAGTCAGATTGGTAACAACATACAGATTTCTACCACTGGTGAGCTCTGAATCATCTACGACTGTAGTCCTTAGCCAGCTGTCGATCTCATCGTTTGGCACTTAACTAGCTCTCTTCTTTTATGATATCATAATAACCTTCGATCAAGAGGTCCGTGTAGTATGGACTCGCAAAATCACCGCAGCCAGCGTCATATACATTTTATCTCGATACCTGATGTTTTTGTACCTCATACTCACATTGGTCGAGAGCGCTGTCGATTGTGAGGTACCATCTCCGTTGCGTATTGCATTTGAGGATTCCCACTCACCAGTCTTAATCTTATGTCACTAGAGGTAGATCCTTCATCTCGCAAACGATCAAACTGCCTCATCGCCTTACATGCAGCTCATATATTGTCATTCAATTCTACAACAGCATCCAATGCATTTTATATGCAGTCTGGGCAGGTGAGAAATATTCGCATTGGCATTCTTCGGCTGTATGCTCAGTATAGCATTGACACCGCTAGCGTTCACGGCTCTTCGAACATATGCAATCAGCCTTCACGCATGGCATGTAGCTGCGCTCGTTTTCCTCCTTGGGATGGTCCCGGCAGGGGTGAACAGCGTGCGTCAGGCTTTAGATTCGATTGGTCGTTGCCGAGCCTGATGGTAATCGTTTGCAGTACTATTATAGTCAGATGCAGATATACAATCTCCCTCCGCCTACTGGTTGCATTCTCGCGAGTACAATTCCAAACAACATCAATAATAAGTACGCATCTTCTTCTGCGCGTCTCTGATGTTCCCGCGACTTAGATTGTAATTCCAGGTGTAAGCTCCGTTGTTCAATGACGGTATCTCTCGTCGCTGAGTACAAACGCAGTGGTGATTGGCACAAGAGTTTGCGTTGTCGCGGCCGATGGCGTTCTGCTACTCGTGACATGGTACAGGACCTATGGGCTTCTCAAGGCTGCGAATGAGGTCCAAGTGCGTGCATCTCTGGCATCCATGTTGTTAAGAGATGGTATGTTATATTGAATGCACGTACATGACGCATTCTGATATGTCCCGTATATAGGTACCATATACTTTGGGTATGTGTCTTCATAATGATCGCACTTTTTATCGTGTTCTAAGGTTTTCCAGCGTCCTCTTTTTGCTGAGTCTCTCCGACATTATTTTGTCAGTCACCAATGTACGTTCTTCTCGGCTTTCGCACATGCATGCGTTATTGATTGCCCCACTCCAGACGTTCAGCGACACGACAACGTTTATCGCGATGTACGTCCCGCTGCAGAATCTGACCGATCCTTTCGCGATTTTCATACGGCTCTTCACAGCTTGACACCGATGCTTCTCGCCCGCTTCTTTCTCAACCTGCGCCAGATTGACAATTCAGGCCACGACACCGAGATGTCTTTTCAAGTAGAGTCGCATCAAGCCTCGAATCTCCGGTTTGCCGCAAGCATCTTGGGGAACATGGGACAGTCGCTTGGGATCGGTGGGGAAGAGACGGACGGAGATCTGGACCCAGAGGCGGCGGCGAACGGCTCAAACGAATCGGATCCAGACAGTGTCATGAGGAAGCTTGAAGAGCGCACTGGAATGCAGTGACTGATCGTGCGTCGCTCTGTACCAACGAACTTGACGCTTGTTCATGCTATGACAGTGTGAAAGTTTTTTTACAGCCAGTTAGTGACCAAGGATACGGTAGAGGATACGTCAGTTGATGAGAAACCACCTCAACCGTGAAATCTTCAGTCCGCTGCGAGCATCCTCAGCGCTGTGGGCATTCGTTGCAAGTCGATAGCGAGAACGACCGTAATTTGGATTTGGAGTCGACGACGGAGGTAAATGACAATTTGGGCCCGACAGCTTGAAATTGACGTGCAAAAGTAACACGCGAGCCACAAAAACGCCATCGTCGTTCGAGGTGGACTTCTATGCATTGGTATACAGAAAACTCATGCAGTTCAGGGAACCGGAATCATTTTTAACGCTAGCAGCAATACGATAAATATCACGACTGAACTCGTGTATGGGGCTCAGAATGTTGTAGAAAATTAATCGTACCGTTTCAGTAGTCGACATGTCTTCCATATATTATGGTGCCGCTGGGTTGCCCGTGGCCCTATCCCCTTTGATCTCACGCTTGCTGATCACAGCATCGACCTTAGCAGGCCCAAATTCCCTGAGACCGATATCTGGCCTGCCGCGAGATTCTCCAGCGTGCGCTTCTTGCTCTTCTTACCCAACAACAGATCAGTTCGACAGCTGACGAGCTGCATGGACCGGCCAGCGGCCGTACGATGATCGTGGAAGAGGACAAGGTTTGGGCCCAGCGAATCGACCCAGGCGATGCAGAGCGGCATTGGTGCTGTTTCACTCGATGATAGCCTTCCTACGGTGCTAACCGTTGTGCTTGAACGTCCACCACAGCGATAGTGGTCAACGTTCCATCCTCCTTCGCAACACCCGACGGGAGCGATACGTATTTCTCCTCGCATTAGCTCAGCCTTTGACAGTAATTGGTCTCTGTGATGAGTTAATGAATGAGGAGTGTATGGCGGCTGACTGGCTTGAATGTCATTAATGCTCTTGATCGAGCCGGGTCAGAAAATCTCCGCCGAGCGGTATAAAACCATCAAAATGCTGTCAATATCCAGTGAGTGGAGAATTAATACGGAGTGAATCTCGTACGAGTAGCTGCAATAGCAATTCAGGCCTGCTTCGCAGTGGCCAGGACTAGGAATCATAACCGCAAAATAATGTATGTCAAAAATCATCGACTCGTATGTGCGCACCCCTGTTAGTCTCTTTTTCATATGACCAAGGACTGATCCCGGTCTCAGCTTACAGAGATCTAGTGCACATATGATTCATTTATGGTTCCCTGGGGCATCACATCTTTGTATTAAGCGCACGCCCACCTGTGAGGCATCTTTGCGAGGCACTCTGACATTCTGACGCGGTCAAACCTTCCCTCCTTCGTGAGCCTGGCGAGGGCGTGAACCGTGTTCTCGATAGGCTCACCTTCAGATCTACGCAAGCACACTGAAAAACGTCCATCCGCGTCATGATATGGCGCCGACACTTCGTATGAGTTTCGCTGGTCAGTCGTCTGCATGAGCTTCGGTCATCTGTGATATTTACGCGTTGGTTCACGAAGAGTCTGCGTTTGGCGTTTCTGTATTTGTCCCTCCTGACTTTGACAGAAAGAAACCTCCTGACCTCGTATCCCGGGTGTTTCCCGAAAAGCCTTATCACAAGCCCCAGGTTTGCAGTAGATGCTCTAGTTCCACATAACTCGCGGTTTGAGACTACTGATTTACTACGACAGGAACCTCTTCATGCCGAAAGACGTCAGCGTCAGCTTTGACAGCTTCGAAACGTTGCATTGTTCATCAAATGCTAGTGCCTCTGCAACCAGTCTATAGATGGTCGGCGTGGTGCCAGCCTACGAGTATCATCCACATATCACGGTGATGCACGAACACCATTCTCATGAAACCGTGCTACGAAGGATCAATGATGCATTAGGTCGTAGTCATCAATCGAAGACACACGATAGAGGTATGGCGACCTTGGCAACCTTTGATGTTCGGGACAGTGCCTCCAAGTGTCGCAGTGTGCTGGATCATGCCGACCAACCAAAACGTACAGAACTAGTCCCAGCAGCTGTGGAAATAGAAGTGAAACGGTTCACATGAAGACAGGAGCCACCTGGAGTTCCGAGCACGATTGATTGTTCGACGGGGCTTAAGCGCGGCTTTTACGGGCGGCTGGGCTGTGTCACTGTACGCCTGAAGAGTCATTGAAAGACGTGAATGTTATCCCAATCCGTCAACCACACATCGTGGAATCAGACCCTGCTGTGATGATTACGACAGATGGAGTCGATAATCCGATCATTCTGCGCTCGAAGCTCCAAGTCGCGATTCGGGGAATGTCAAATACTCAGACCAATCTTTCTCTGGTGCGCTTACCTGAAACACCACCATTGACTGTAGATTGCGCACATGATCTGCGATTAACTGACTCATCGAGTTTAGATTACCTGGAAAATCATGGCGCAGGATACATCGAGCCTAGACTTAAAAAAAATGCACTACTGGACCTACAGGATCAGAATTTAGTTCGGCGCACAATGCGGTCCCATATCTGATGCACATACTCAATCTCTGACCAATCCACCTCGCCAGCGCCTGCTATGGCCGACCTTGCAAAGCAGGTTCCGTCCGATTCACCATTAATAACGGGATACTGCGTGGCGCTTCGTTTCAGGCATCTTGAACATAACCTTCAATATGGCTCGGCGATCGCAAGGCGAGAACAGCGCCCGTATGTAAGCGTTGAGTGCTCTATAGGAAGTCGTGTCATCAGGAAACAGATGTAAACCGTCGCAGCCGACCGTTACTTTCTTCACTTGGCGTAGTCCTTCAGAGTTTAAGACACGATCGAACGCCCGACACTCTGTCTCTTCCAATCGGTTTCTGATGTCGTGGACGACCACTTGTCCGGCAAGTTTGATACTGATCATGCTGGGCAGTGCGTGGCCGCCGAGAGTGAGAGCCTGATGCAGGCAGCCCTGCATGGCTGACCACATCGTCTGTTCGCTTCGGACGGTAATGCCAAGGCGGGACGGGACATAGTCTGAGGAGCATGCTCCAGTGAGTCATGCACGCACTCTCGAAGAGTAGATCAATCTTACGTACCGATGTGAACCCCAATCTTATTGTACCGCACGTTTGACTCTGAATCCTCCATTTTCAGCAGCAGGATGCGCCGTGTGGATTGTGCACGGAACAGCCAGTCAACAACTGGATCGAATATATTCAGAGATCCCGTCGTTAAGCCCCGACCCGCGATTCCAGATAGCACAATAGCTGTCGAATCTGTCGAGCCAGGAGACGCAACGACAGGCGGTCCGATAGTGGATATCTGACTCATGTCCGCCAGGCGAGGATCCAAGATGATGTTTTCCAGGCTCAGCGTGGAGAGCCCATGAAGTGCATCAATGATCTGCGTCAATTCGTTGATGGTGGGGAAGGTGCATGACGAGATCGAGAGCCTTTCAACGGATGTCAAATGCGATAGGAGAGCGAAGAGGCCTGGATCCGAAGTCTCTCGCCATACACGATCTTCTATCTTGAGATCTTTCAACTCCAGCGGTTGACGCCGCTGTGGAATGGCTGCTTGATTTTCTGTCGCACATTTCCAGTGGACGCTACATAGGATTAGCTCTTTCAGCGCAGGGAGACCATACAAAAGGCGACGGAGATCAGAAAGAGTTGCAAATTGACAGGACACAAGGGTGAGCGTTTTTAGAGACTTGAATTGCGAGAGTGCTCCAAAGAAGCTCGAATGGAGTAGGCTTCTTGCGGCCCAGTCCGCGCCCTCAATGTATAATTTCTGCACTGACTGAGAAAGGCTCCCTAACACTTGAGGAAGGGTATGCACGAATGGCTTTGACGGGTCGTCGATAATTGTCAGATTGCGTACGTGTTTGAAAACGTCCGCCCGATGCCGCTGGTCATGACGAAACACACGCGCATACCAGTCAAACGTAACATGACTGCGCATGCTCAGCGAGTCGGCTCGGGCTAGGGGAAATTGCGATCTCCGGCACTCGCGCAAGTGGAAGTTGCTGGCAGCACGAAATGGCTCGCCCATCGTGTAACAAGCCTCCAGCGCGCGTGCATCGTTCCACAAAAAATCCACGATGTAGTCCGTAAGCTCTTGAGGCAGTGGCCAAACCATGTCAGCTGCATAGCCATTACTGTGAGAAGGTGTACAGATGGGCGTCGTACGATTAACGTACCTGAGAGAGCGGTTGCCTGTGGAGAATGCGCTTGAAACTCTCGAGTCGTGGCTTTAATATTGCTACCGTTATGTGATCCTGTCCAGTTGCCTGAATACAGAGGCTCCCACGGCACCCCCGCCTCATGGCAGTCCTAAGTGGTCAGTGTCGTTGCCAGCTTTAACGGTATGCTACAACCTGCCGTAGATGGGGCCTGTGCAGCATGCACCTACGAGAACTACAAAGCGTGCTTTATGCGGACTTCATCGTGGGTATCGACGTAGGGAATGTTGTTCAGGCGCCCTGCTTCAGAGGTCGGAGCATTGAATCGCGGCAGCACCGACTTGATAGTGATATCGACGCATCCCGTCTTGCCTCGACCAACAGTTCGTCGTGCAGCTCTTGCTGCCCAATCTGCGCATGTGCGTTCTTTGAGATTTGGAACATGTGTGTGAAGGAGCCGAACATATATCTCTGAGGATGAAACTCGCGGAGCGCTGAGCGCTCATCAATCCCTGGCAATTCGCGGAGTTCTCGCGCTTATATTCACATCATGTGGTTAGTGCATGCCAGACCACATGCCCTTTCCCTCTGACAGCCATTCATTGCGCACGTCTCCCTTCCACTTCGAGGCTGCCAGATTGTTAGTCCCTGTTCTGGAATTCACGCATTCTCTACCAGTTGGACGTCGCTAGTCAGTATGTACAATTGTATCTCACGCCGTTTTGATATTCATTTTCACTGCGAACATTCCAGGAGCACTATGAGACTCATATCGACATCTTCTGATGCGGCAGAACGCCGTCTTTCTATGGCAAGCGTCGACGCAAGTACGTTCTCGAGGGCTTCGGGCTACCTAAACGAAGAGCCGAATGCAGCTATTGATCACTTGGAGGAAGAATTGGTGCGATATCAGCACGAGGCGCAGCAAGAGAAGCAGCGCGCTGAACAGTATCGTGAGCATGCAAAGGAACAGGCGTCGCAATTCAAATGTAGGGAAGAAGAGCTCGTGCGAAATGCGCAACTCGCGAAGGAGCAGGCAAGTCAATTAGAGCAGGATCTGGACGAGATCAAACGAAGCAGTGATGCGGCGAAGGAAGAGGTCAGTACACAAGTGATTGTATCGATCCGCGAGCACGTCAACTAACAAGGGTACTAGTTCAAACGCAGAGAAGAGGAGCTCGTACAAGCTGCACAGCTCGCCCAAGAGCAGGCAACCGAATATCAGCAGGCTGCGGTTGAAACGAGACGATACAGCGATGAAACAAGGGAAGAGGTCAGTGCCCATGTCCTTCCAAGTCAGATCACCTCATTTCTCACGCCTATTTTCTCGCTCACACAGCTGCAGGAACTTCGCGTGCAGCTTGTCGCCGCCGAGAAGGACCGAGAGTCGATGCATGCTTTGCTCGATGCACGCCGAGTCGAGATCGCGGAAGTGCAAGAGGATGGCAAGCGACGAGCCGCCCACGCAGATACCATGGAAGCAGAGCTTTGGGAGTCCAGACAACGTCTCAAAGAGTTACAGAACGAGATGTCTGTCCTGCGCGAACAGGTCGCCGACTCTGAGTGGCGGGCAAGCTCTGCAGCCAAAGAGGTGAGCCGCATGGTACGGCTTACAGACTCAAGACGAGATGTTCATGCACGCATCCTAGCTGCGCTGGGTTCGTCGCCGCGAGGACGCGTATAGAAAGGAACGAGACTGCATGCTCGCTTTGCTGGAAACGCGTCGGTTGGACCTCCAAGGAGCCCAGAGCTACTTGAAGTCCACCGACGTCGCTTCCGAGACCGACGTGGTGCGGATGGTCCGCATCCTGAACACGGAGATCTTCCAGACCGTGAAGCTGATGGCGTCCTCGTTCACCGTGGTCGATGACCCCATGGTGGCCACGCATGCTGCAGATTCGTTGCGCAGTGTTCTTGGTCGGGCCGTTACAGATTTGTTGCTCTCCTTCCCCAACCACCACGATGACACGATCGTTCTAGAGATATCTCTTCAGTCCGTTATCGTGCTCGTCGTGAGACTGATTATCTCATCGTGGGACCTCTCAGCAAGGACCAGCTTAAACAAGTCTCTCACTGGTGCCTATATAAGATTGCTTGCCTCAGGTAGGCAGAACATTCCATGAGCGCAGTCTGTCGTCGTTAACGAAGCTGCACCACAGAGGATCAGAGCGTCGCTGCCAGGTGGCGATCGCTGACACTCAGATACCTTCCACAAGAGTCGGCGGACGGGAAGAGCTGGATGACGTTCTTCAACGAGGAGCTCGCAACGTTCTTGTCGGTCGTTTTCAACCTCGCGGGCGGACGCGGAGACGTTCCTGGTGCTGCTCGAGACAACATTCACAACATTGTCTCCACTGCGTTCGAGCTCCGCAGGATGCTGTCCGACGACATCCTTGGCGCTGATTACGTCGTCACGCTCGGCGTAACCGGTAACAGCTTCTCGTCGGAGGCCATGGACGACGCATACCCTACGAGGGGTCGACGGCCGAAAGCGGGCACTCGCATCCTCTGTCCATTTGAGCTTGGTCTTCACCGGTTTGACAAAGTCGACGAAGAGTTCGAGGAGACGTTGAAAGAGTCGGTTGTGATTAGGCCCAAGGTCGTTCTCGAGTCATTGATTGACGATCTCAAGACTGGATAGGAACAAGGCTCAGTTGGGCAGGGAAAGTCGATCTGATTGTATAGTACTCGTTGCGCATTCCGTAAGCTCCGAAATGTATGAGTTTATGTTCTTGAGGCATGTACAGGCACAGGGCCAGAGATAAAATATATCGCTAGTCACAAGCGAACAGTACAAATGCACAAAAGCAAGCAACAAAGCAAGTACAACGATATTGGGTACATGAGAGTACATTGCAGAACGTTCGAACGACGGCTGACACTGCTTCAAGGCAGTTCCGTTCGTGAGAAAGGTCACCCAGGTCAATCACTGTCGTCCTCGAAGATAATGGTGGCAGGGCTCCTGTAGCATGCATTGTGAGCGCTCGCATTCAATCGCTGTCATGAATGAGTACCTTTTCTCCTCACCCTAAAGTTTCCATTATCAGTGGGTGCAATTAGAGAACCGTGTCGTCGTGATGAACTCACATTCTCCATCCAAGACAATTGCGCCTTGAACTCGGTTAGACCAAACAGGAAAATCACCTTGAAATCTTGCTCGTAATAGTCGCCTCGCATGCCTCGCTTCTGTACCTTCGGAATGTGCGAGATGTCCGCACGTATAGTGCACAACGTGTCAAACATTTCTAGGGTGCTTCAAATGAACTGGACTGAACTGGATGCTTTGCTTGATGCTTACCCGGCTCTTCGTCCATCCATTGCGGGTCCCGCTCAGATCCTTTGTAACGGATTACGTTGCTTAAGAGCTCATTGAGGGGGGTGTGTGTTTTTTGCACAAAGGATTGTTGAAATTCCTCCTCCTTCGATACTTGTGTTCCCTGACCACAGAGATATTAAAATACCGAATCTATGAAAACATAGTATGCATACCTTAGGCAAGATAGTCAAAAAGGCATCCGGAAGCAGCCGCATACCCGATGCGCCTAGGAAAATCTTGTTCTGTCGTGTCTTATGGGAGGGAAAGGACGAGATATAGCGGGTGTTGCAATCCGATCCGTGGGTGAATTTCGCCACATGTGCAGACACAATATCATCGAGATAATGAGAGAGAGCACCCTCCGCGACGGCTTTGGCGCTGTGGGACACATTAGAAAAGTATTGTGGCGCAGGGCTAGACTATGCCTACGGCCCACTGGCACCATCCGGATAGAACAGCGATAAGCCGAAGCGTTGTGCGTAGCTCTGAAGCTCGGCACGCAAGTATTCGTTCTTCGCAAACCCTCCCACTAACAGCACAATCTAGAAGACCTCGGTACGATGAGCTCCACAAGAATGATGAGATAGTTACTTACATTGATTCGTCCGCCGGTCCTCGACGATTGCTTCCTCATTGCATCCTCGATAGCGCTAACGGAGGGATGGAATAGAGTGGCCATGTCCGACCTTGGAGCACGATGAGGGCCGTTAGCACGTTTCACGTCTAACAGACTTACCCAGACAAACTCAGCGTTCCTCTCTTGATATCGCACTGCTCATCGGTATCTCGAACACTACCAAACCTGATATAGGAAGCCTTCGTAGGGTCCCTGAACGTAGGCTTGGCAGAGTTCTCGAAACACTCGAGCATCGTTTGGATGTCTTCGTCGTTGCCAAAATGTGAACTTCTGAGCTTGTCTGAGGTACGCCTTAGTGAGGAGATGCATGAACGCGCAGGAATGTGATGATATACCTCTGAGGAATTGTTCAGCTCTGTTGTTGACAAATGTCGATCCCTGCATGACGCCTACAATCTATGAGTCGAATCTGGCAGCCGGCTGCTTTCGGATCCGCGACTTACAATCCGGAGGAATGCTCTCAACAGCCTTGGCAGGTATCGTGCTCGTGATCCTGTATGTACTCAGATCGACAGTACCTCCTCCAGCATCGACGATCATCAATTGGTTGTCGGCCTGTGAAAGCACTTACAGCGACGGAATGTCATACAGTAACTGCTATACTGACCTTGGCGACGTCTCCAGTGAGACCATTAGTTATGCAATAATGCAGATTAGCTTCCCCCTCTGTCACGAAACGGATCCGCGATTGGCCAGCGTCCGAGTCTGGAACGAGGCCTGCAAGTACAGCCGCTCGCCGCATCTTTGCTTGTTGGCTGCCACCCCATCCATTAGGGTGCGTAAGAACGAATTCGACGTTCGATTCAGACTGCAGCAATTGACGTCCCATTGGGTCTTTCTCGGATATGTACTTTTTGGCGCATTTGTACAGGTATCGCATAAAATCCGCCAGGATCTGTACAACGGTCTTATTCGGCGGAAGCATTCGCAGATGCTTATCATCCGACGCCAACTCGCGTGGACGAAGATGTAATTTGAACCTATGTCCTGTCAGTTTTCCTGGGCCACTCGACGAGAAAAGGATCTATTCACCATTCGGTCAATACCCAGCCTTCATCCGAGGCCTTCTGTCGATTGTCGTGTGATTTCGCCTCCGCCCCTACCGCACGAACTGTTCCTTCTTCATCATAGTAGACGATCGTGGGGATCTTTGTGTCCCTCACCTGATTGTCTCCTTCTTGTCCAGGATAGCTAATATAAGGTGAGCGACGATTGTCCAATATAACCATCGATAGCGTACCGCATAACGCTATGAATTTCAGGGGTCCCTCCCGTGTCTAGAATGCAAAACGAGACGCCGCTGTAGGTCGTTCCGACGTCGATTCCCAACACGAGCTTTCGCTCGATTACACTGTCATATCGCTTGTCGAGAGGCATGGTGCTGACAATATTAATTCTGGGAGAGAGCAAGGAGCACCCCCTTTAGCAAAAACCATGCGGTCTTATAGGTTCCCTCACGGTCTCGCTCCTGCTACCAACGACACGTTCTGGAACCGTATGCTTGCCGGACGATAACGACGGGATATCTGTGACATGGGACTTTTTTGATCTGTAATACGTGGGGAAAATGCGAACCATTATTTTGGTAGTTGGCCAATAGCTTGTGAAAGTGACATGGCTGGCAGTTTACAAAGCGATCTCAAGACTGGATAGGAACAAGTCTCGGGCCAAGGAAAGTCGATCTGATTATGCTTATTTTCTTCAGGCGCGGTCACGCACAGCGCCACAGATAAAATATATCGCTAGTCACAAGCAAACAGTACAAATGCACGACAACAAGAAACAAAGCAAGTACAACGATATTTGGTACATGAGAGTACATTGCAGAACGTTCGAACGACGGCTAACGCTGCTCCAAGGCAGTTCCGTTCGTGAGAAAGGTTACCTAGGTCAATCACTGTCGTCCTCGTAGATAATGGTGGCAGGGCTCCTGTAGCATGCATTGTCAGTGCTCGCATTCAACCGCTGTCATGAATGAGTACCTTTTCTCCTGACCCTACAGTTTCCATTATCAGTAGGTGCAATTGGATAGCCATGTCGTCGTGATGGACTCACATTCTCCATCCAAGACAATTGCGCCTTGAACTCGGTAAGGCCAAACAGGAGGATCACCTTGAGATCTTGCTCGTAATAGTCGCCTCGCATACCTCGCTTCTGCACCTTCGGAATGTGCGAAATGTCCGCGCGTATAGTGCACAGCGTGTCAAACATTTCTAGGGTACTTCGAATAAGTTGGACTGAACTGGATGCATTCATTCATGCTTACCCGGCTCTTCATCCATCCATTGCGGGTTTCGCTCAGATCCTTTGTAACGGGTCACATCGCTCGAGATCTCATTGAGGGTGGAGAAAGTGTTCTGCACAAAGGATTCCTCAAATTCCTCCTCCTTCGACACTAGCGTTCCCTGATTACAGAGATATTGAAGTCCGAAATGTATGGAAAATGCATTGTGCGTACCTTGGGTAGGATAGTCGAAAAGGCATCCGGAACAAGCGGAATACCCGATGCGCCTAGGCCGACCTTGTCCTGTCGTTTCGTATGGGCGGGCAGGAACGGGATATAGGGACGGCTGCAAGACGAGCCGTAGGCGTACTTCGACACACGTGCGGACACAACATCATCGAGATAATGAGATAGAGCGCCCTCCGCGACGGCTTTGGCGCTGTGGGTCACATGAGAGAAGTATTGTGGCGATGACCGGGCTGTACCTACGGCTGACTCTGTCCACTGTCAGGATAGAACAGCGATAATCCGGAGCGCTGTGCGTAGCTCTGAAGCTCGGCACGCAAGTGTGGGCTCGCCGCAAACCCTCCCACAAGCAGCACCATCTGAAAGATCTCAGTATGACAAGCTCCATAGCAATGACCAGATAGTTACTTACGTTGATTTGTCCACTGGCCCCTGACGATTGTCTCCGCATTGCATTCTCAATAGCGCTAACAGAAGGTCGGAAGAGAGTAGCCATCTCCGACCTTGGAGCACGTTGATAGGCCGCTAGCACATCTGATGTCTAAGAGACTTACCCAGACAAACTCAAAGTTCCTCTCTTGATGCCGCACTGCTCATCGGTATCTCGAGGACCACCAAACCTAATATAGGAAGCCTTCGTAGAGTCCCTGAACGTAGGCTTGGTCGAGTTCTCGAAATACTCGAGCATAGTCTGGATGTCCTCGTCGTTGCTGAAACGGGAGTTCCCAAGCTTGTCTGAGGTACGTCTTAGTGAGCAAATGCATGAACGCGCAGGAATGTGATGATATACCTCTGAGGAATTGTCCAGCTCTGTCATTGACAAACGTGGAGCCCTGCATGACGCCTACAATGCATGAGTCGAATCTGGCAGCCGACTGTTATGATCCGCGACTTACAATCCGGAGCAATGCTCTCAACGGCCTTGGCAGGTACCGTGCTCGTAATCCTATAGGTACTCAGATCAACAGTACCTCCTCCAGCATCGACGATCATCAACTGGTTGCCGGTCTGCGAAAGCACTTAGAGCTACGGAAGGTCATACAGTAACTGCTATACTGACCTTGACGACGTCTCCTGTGAGACCATTAGTTATGCAGTAGTGCAGAGAAGCTTCGCCCTCTGTCACGAAATGGATCCGCGATTGGCCAGCGCCCGAGTCTGGAACGAGGCCTGCAAGTACAGCTGCTCGTCGCATCTTTGCTTGTTGGCTGCCACCCCATCCATTAGGGTGCGTCAGAACGAACTCGACATTCGACTCAGACTGCAGCAGTTGACGTCCCGTTGGGTGTTTCTCGGAGATAAACTCTTTGGCGCATTTGTATATGTATCGCATGAAATCCGCTATGATCTGTATGACGGTCTTGGTCGGCGGAAGTGTTGGCAAATGTTCATCATCCGACGCCAAGTCGCGTGGACGAAGGTGTAATTTGAACCTGTGTCCTGTCAGCTTTCCTGGGCCACTTGATGAGCAAGGGACGTTTTCACCATTGGGCCAACACCCAGCCTTCATCCAAGGCCTGGAGTCGATTGGCGTCTAATCTGGCCTCCGCCCCTACCGCACGAACTGTTCCTTCTTCGTCATAGTAGACGATTGTGGGGATCTTTGTGTCCCTCAACTTGTTGTCTCCTTCTTGTCCGGGATAGCTAATATAAGATCAGCGAGGATTTTCAGTGGGGCCCTCGACAACGTACCATGTAACGCTGCGAATCTGAGGGATCTCTCCTGGGTCGAGAATACAAAACGAGACGCCGCTGTAGGTCGTGCCAACGTCTATTCCTAAGACGAGCTTTCGTTTGGTCCCACTGTATGGCTTGTCGAGAGGCATGGTGTTGACAATGATGCTGGGAGCGAGCAAGGAGCACGCCTGTAGCAACGACCGCGGCGCTCTTGTAGTGGGAGCGCTTGAAGGTATAAGGTTCCCTCACGGTCTCAACGTGCTGCCAATGACAGTTCTGGAACCATATATCCCTGCCGAATAATAAGGACCCTGGCACGCGATCTTCGTGTCATGGGCGTTCATGACCCACGAGGCAGCAAATCCATTGAGCACCATCCTCCGACTGCCACACAGCTCCTCCCGTGCCAATCAAGGCCTTTTCACCTGTGGCGTGCTCTGATCTTATCCAACTAAGGATTGTACGTATTGCGGTACCAAGACATGTGGTTTCTACGTGCACTAAGCGGCATATCAGAAGCAGGATTGTGGTCCACCTCGCCCCTACCGTGCGACGCGCAGGTATGCAGCAATACATGTACATGGCAGGTGTCCGTTCACTAATTTTCTCCCCAACAGCCACGACCATGGGTGCCGCAATCGACACGATCCTCAACTTTCTCTATCTCCGAAGGTCCAGCAGAGCCAGCGCTTTCAAAATCATCTTCGCCGCGGCCCTGGCCGTAACAGTCCTGGCGAAAGGACTGAATGGTCACTTTGTCGCGGTATGAGAACAGTCACTGCTTGTAAAGATCACTATTAACCCTCTGGTATCCAGCAACGGACCATCAAACGGCTTAAGAAGGAGCTAGCGCGCGCCAGATCCGAAGAACAGACGATCAGAAGTCATGCAGATCAAGAGCAGCGGCAGAGCGCTGCAGAGGCTAGCAAGATCAAGGCACAGCTGGCACGCAAGGAGGAAGAGTTGCATCAGACAAAACAGGGGTGGAGTAAGGAAACCGCGTCCAACAAGCAGACAATAGAGCACATCAGCCGTGAGGTGGACACATTTATACCCAACCAAGCCAAGACGAGAAAACTGACGCTTTCGTGGACAGCTGGAACAGCGAAAACGCAGGGAGGAGTCGTATATGAAGGAGCGCGAGTCCCTGCAAGCGCTCCTGGAGACTCGTCGACTTGAGCTGCAAGAAGCTCAGAGCTACTTCCAATCTGCTGAGGCAGTCTCTGAGGGCGATGTCGTCCGTACCGTTTCCAACCTCAACTCGGAGGTGTTTCAGGCCGTGAAGGCGATGGCAGAATCGTTCGAAGCTGGAAACGCCGCCACGTTGAACACATACCCATTGGATGAAGCTCGCACTCTCGTTGGCGAGAAACTATCTCAATTACTTGCATCGTTCCCGGATCATCAGCAAGACACCGTTGTTCTCGAGACTGCCTTTCAGGCGACCATGGTGCAATTCGCCTACAGTCTACTATCGGCCTGGTATATAGGAAACTGGAAGGAGGACTCGATGGCGAACATCTACAAACAGATGTTACTCTCTGGTATGCATCAGAATGCTTCCATGTGGTCCTTGGTGATCAACTTAGTTCGCAGAGAGCCAGAGCGTCGCAGGAAGATGGCGAGCGTTGACGTACAAATATCAACCCAAGAGCGACGCCGACGGTCATACATGGGAGATCAGGCTGACTCAATCACTACAGTCGCTCCTGAGCACTATCAACCTCGTCGCTCGAGGAAACGGCGAGGTGCCAGAAGAAGTCAAGGAGAACTTACGTCTCATCGTGCGCACTGCGCTGGACCTCAGATCCATGATCGGTGAACAGATCGTCAGCAGTAATTATACCATGATAGTCGGCTCGGGAGGAGAGCTGTTCGCACCGGAGCGGATGGAAGATGTCTGGGCGACCGGAGCTAGCAACGTTAAGGAAGGGACCCGAGTGCTCTGTCCGTCAGATCTGGGTCTTCAAAGGACGGAGAAGGTGGATTCTGGCGGGGACGATACTAGTGTCACAGCTCTTTTGATCAAACCTAAGGTCGTACTCGAGACCTTGGTTGAGGAGCTGTTACCGGGCGATGAAGGAGAGAGCGTTCCTAATCCGAATTCATCACACGATTCATAGCGGATTCCGTCGTTAGCTATGTACATAGCAAAGACCAACTGATGGATAGGCGAAGTTTCGCACTGAGTGGAGTAGACGTACGGGGCTTAGGTACTTGGTGACACGTGTGATGGTAAGCACCAGGTTCGACTTCCGACGGCCGCAGGAGCAATCAGGAAATGTTGATCGTTGCTGTTGTAAGCTTGCCAGGCGTCGGATCAAAGCCAATGCCTTTCTTGTGCCACTATTGATGGTTTTCAGAACTTTAAGCCTCGCATTGCAAGGATAAAGTCTGCCTGAGAATTAGCATAAATACTTCCGCCATTTTGCCATACAGTCCTTGAAGCCAATACACTATTCCAGATCATTAAACCGCGTGAAATGCGAAGATGCTGGAGGAGCAGCGCAATCGGGAGAAGCAAGATGTTCTCGGAGGACCTTACATGCATGCATGGCTAAATCAGCACTCCCTCTGGACGTTCAGCACTTAGCCACAAAGGTGTAGTGCCTCGAGCGATGCTTGCCACGACTCGTCGTCAAAGCGAATACGCAAGTTGAATGAGAAGTTGCCGAGAATGCAAGATACCAGACGCACATAAACCGACAAAATGCCATTGCGATATCCGTGCAGAGTAGAGCCAGAACACTGATGTTGAGACTAACGTTGACACGAAGAAAAGGCTGCTCATCGGCATTTCAATCCGTCTCGTCGTCATAGACAATAGTCGCGGGGCTTCTGTTACGAAGGTGAACAGACAATCAAATGCTACCGTTTCAACACAAACCTGGTGTCTCTTCCCTAAACCGGTATAAGATATATCAGCAGGCCATATCCGGGCTCGAAATATAAGAACATACGTTCTCAATCCAGCTGAGCTGAGCCTTGAGCTCAGTAAGACCAAAAAGCAAAACCAGTTCGAAATCTTGCGAGTAGTATAGACCTTTCGGTCCGTAGCGCGGCGTCTTCGGCACTCGTGAAAGATCTGCATGAACGGTGCACAGAGTGGCGAAACGGTCTGACCTCATGGTAAGTAACAAATGTATTGAGGCGACTTGAGGCTCACTTGGGTCCTCGTCTACCCATTGCGGGTTTGCTAACTCTCCTTTGTAGCACGAGACGGACATCGATATGTCCGTGAAAGGGCCAACATCATATTGTATAAAATCCATCTTGAATTCCTCATCATTCGATACCGAGGTTCCCTGAAATTGTTGTCGTCAGCACGTCAGTCACACTCCGAGCAAAATGACGGTTCGCCACTTTAAGAAGAAGCCCGACGAAGCCACCACGAATACGCGTATTTCCAGCCAAGTCTACATAGCTCCAGTGTTCACGTTTGATGTACTCTGGATCGGTCGGAACGTGAATGTTGTTACACATGGATCCATAAGTATATCTTGCTACGCGTGAGGTGACTGCGCGGTCCAGATGGCACGAGAGGGCTCCCTCTGCCACGGCTTTGGCTCTAAAATATGTCAGTTTCGATACGGTATTAAGATATGGTGGACGTACGGTTGACCTTCGGGGCTGAAAAGCCTCATCGCGGTGCGTCGTGTATAGGCCTGTAGCTCGGAACGTAAGAAGGGGCTGGCGGAAAAGCCTCCTACAAGCAGGATGATCTGATGTGGCAATGTGTTTCAGACACGTGTAACAATACATGGAGAAAAGTGACTTACATCAATTGGCGCAGCAGCTTCATGTGCCTGCTTTTGCATTGCTCGTTCGACGGCATTGACGGAGGGACGGAAGAAAGAAACCATCTCAGGCCTTGTTGAAGGTAAGCTTGCAATATGAAGTCTCGATATGCAACAGGTCTCACTAACCCTGATAGAGATAGAACACCGCGCTTGATACCGTTCTTCTCATCGGTATCACGAGGGCCGCCAAACCTCGTGTACGATGGCTTTGCGGCGTCTCTGAACGTCGGCTTGGTTGAAGCCTCGAAATAGTCGATTATGTTCGAAAGATCCTCTTCGTTCCCAAAGCGCGACTTTTTCAACTTCTCTACGCAAGCCGCATGTTAGCAAACATATTTTCCGAATGTCGCATTTGGCTCTCTGCTGACTTTTTAAAAAGTCTTTGGCTCTCACATTCACGAATGTAGATCCTTGTAAGAGACCTTGATACGTTACATTGTCAGGCCACGTACGGTTGATGGTTCAGCACAGCTACTCACAATCTGCGGCGGCACATTCGACAACAGACACCGGCGTAACACCGGTAACCTTGTATGTACTCAGATCTACAGTCCCACCTCCGGCATCGACAATCATCAGGCGATTACCAATCCAGGTGACAGTCAGATGAGATCACAGGTAGAATGAGCATCACAAATTTGGGTGACCTTGATCGCATCTCCCGCAAGGCCGTTGGTCACACAATAATGGAGACTAGCTTCACCCTCTGTCACAAAATGAATCCGCGATTGCCCAGCTGCAGTATCCGGTATAAGACCAGCCTGGACAGCAGCTCGCCGCATCTTGCTTTGCTGGCCGCCGCCCCAGCCATTCGGGTGGGCGAGAACGAACTCGATACTCTTATTGGATCGCAAGATCTGCTGTCCTTTCGGATCAGCTTCTGAGATGAAGTCCCTGGCGCATTTGTAGATATACGACATAAAGTCGGCCAAGACATCAACAACCGACTTGTTGCGAGGAAGTGTCGGTAATCGCGCCTGATTATCTGCCATATCCGCAGGGCGAAGGTGTAATTTGAACCTGCAATACACTATGTAGACAGATTCAAGAGTGAGGATGTAATTTATCTTACCATTCAGCCAACACCCAATTTTCGTCCAACGCCTCAACTTGCGCGCTGTCAGTTCTCGCTTCTGCGCCGATTGCACGAATTCGACCATCCTGACCATAGTACACGACTGTAGGAATCTTCGTATCTCTCAATTTGTTCTCTCCTTCCTGTCCCGGGAAGCTGGGAGACCGGTGTTTGAAGATAGGTATAAGGACACAAATAAAATCCCCCACCGTGTGACACTGAGCACTTGGGGCACTTCTCCAGGATCCAAAACGCAATAGGACACACCGCTGAAGGTCGTTCCGATGTCGATTCCTAGGAGAAGCTTGCGGCCGGTGCCGCGATATGGTTGAAGGGGCATTTGAGAGAGTCAGAAACAGTGAAGCGACGTGTGCCCCAGCAATCGATGTACACTGTGAATCTTCATGCAGTGGGCTCGCGGGAAAAACGTGCTGTTCATATTTCGCAAGGAAGCACGGAGCATAGTCTCGCAAGAGGCCAGAACCTGATCGGCTACGTCTCGATGGGAGATTTGATGCTGCCATGAGGAACGCCGCAGATTGGCGCTTGATCACATGAAGACAGCCAGTGCACGGTATCCTCGTTCCTGATGTGCTGCTATCCTGATGACCATCAGCGGTACGGACTCGGCTCGATCACGCAGCGATAGTCATCGCGAACTCCGTTCCGTAAGTTCAACCCCTTGTCGAACACCGCTCTGCTGACCCTGTAGACCAACACTTCTCCAGTCTATCTCAGATGCTTGCGAATCGTACGAAAGACCAGTCGGCCAGCCCAGACCAGTCTGGGGCTCGCACAAGCAAGAATGCGGGGGTCTCAGAAAAATATGAAGACAGACATGAACGCAACGTTCGTGCCAAAGGAGAATCATTCTCAGTAGTCGAGGATCGTTCGAGGAACGAAAGGACGAAACAATTTCAAGCAAAGCAGGCCACTAAAAGTCTCGTGCAGCAGGCTTCCGGGAATAAGCGCGCTGCCGACGAGCTGTCGAGGACTGGAGAGCATTCCAACGTATGGAGGAAAAAGGCGGAGCATTTTGAGCGGGTCGCAATGGAAGCGCAGAAAGAGGCAAGTAGTCGTACGTTTGATGATCCACATAGGAAGGCTCACTGTGGGCAGCTGCAACAAGCCCACCAAAAAATTGAGACCCTCGTCAAGCAGCACAAAGAGATGGAGATGCTTGCAGAAACGCGACGTCTCGAGCTGCATGCAGCACAGACATACTTGAATGAAGCCGACATGGCCTCGGAAAGTGATGTTGTCAATGCTATCAACGGTCTCAACGCAGAGATATTTCAGGCTGTGAAGAGGATTGCGGACTCCTTCCGAGCTACAAACCCCCAAGTTCGCGATCCGGAGGCTGAGAAAGAGGCTGAGAGAGCGATCGGTCCATCGATGGTGCAAGTTCTTCGCTCTACGTTTAATCACCAAGATGATACTATCCTTTTTGAGGCTGCTCTTCAAGCAGCCATGGTCTGCTTTGTCGGGAGAGTGATATCTGTGTGGAATCTAGCGCAATGGGAAGATTCTACATTGTTCGATACCCACGTCAAGGTGTTCCATTCTGGTGAGAAATTAGAGTTTCTTCCACGTAGAGACGTCTACTGAAGCGTAAGCAGAGAGCCATGGAGTAGCAGGGCGCTGGCGAGCGCTCACACGGAAACACTCACCACGGCAGGCAACAGACGGTCGATATTGGGAAGATGTTTTCGTAGAAGGCCTTTCGCACTTCTTATCGTCCATCATCGTCGTCGCAGGCGGCAACCTTGATGTCTCTCGGCCGAATCCCGAGAACCTCAAGGTAATCGTGTGTGCGGCCCTCCAGCTCCGCAAGATGATAGGCGAAGACATTGTGGGGAGCGAGTACATCGTGAGGTTTGGCGTACCAGGCGAGGCATTTACGCCAGAGTCCATGGACGACTGGTGCGCTGCTGACGGCAAAGCGCCGGAAGGGAAGCATTCTGTCCTGTGCCCTTCAGCGCTTGGTCTGCAACGCTTCGAAAAAAAGTCAAGAAATTGCGGAGGATATTGTCCGAGGAGTTTTCGTGCTAAAACAAAAGGTCGTCTTGGAGGGTTTCGCAACTGGGCTAGATTTGGTGGGTAATCCTGTTGGATGAGCTGGCAGCCGCCGAATACATCAATTCACATACCATCACCCAACTCGCGGCCATCGCATACATTCCAACATCAATCATAAATCCAACACTGCAAGAGGCTCTTATGCATGTACCTTGACGAGTTTGAACACTTGCAACCATGGCAGAGGTATATTGAAGACGCTTCGCCGTCGGAATCAATAAGGAACGCACGTTTAAGTTCAAAAAGCTAGAGTGCGGCCTGCCTGTGGAGTCTGACAAATAAACTCCCTGTCCTTTCATGACTACAGTCTAACGAGGTTCGAGCGGCGGGTGCATTCCGCACTGGATGTCTTGCAAGTCGAGCCGAGTCAAGGGGAGTAGCCACAGATGCGACCTCCGCTTTAACCTCCGCCAGATCCCATCGGACGGCATCATCATTAGTAACGCATGCTCACCTTTCTCGAATTGTTTTCGCATGATAGTTCTCTTTTTAATGAGGCGACGAAGTGAATGCAGCTTGCGATAGCGGTTTATGCGCACTTCGACAATGTCTGACATCTGGCAGCGATACATCATCGTACCGACTCACTTCGGGCTATACCCGTATAGTGCATGCGAGTGTAACGAATCGAGGTCCGCACTTCCCACTGCCCTGCGTCGAAGAGGACTCACGGCAATATACTTAACGTTTGGCAGGTTAGCAGCATTTTCAAGATGAATAGAGTTTCATTCAGCTGTCAGGCGAGGAAGGAAAGAACATGGTTAGCTACTAGTATGCCTTGGGATTTCTAGATACCGAAAGCGAACTGAATTCAGACTGTTTTGTCCATCAGGAGAATGCGGCCTCAGAGAATCCCGGAACGTTGGATCGATATGGTACACTGTAGGAGAGATTCGTGACGGTGCAGTACAATCATCAGTTTTCATTATGGACCTGTTTCATTCGGACTACAAGCTCACTACTTTACATTCGACTCTACCAGCGTCATCCGTAGGGCCGGACTGGCGTGCGGGTGAGGACGCAAAAAGGCGAAAGTGAGGCTCACGGTGACGATCGCGC